TTTTTAGTTTGGCAGCCTGGGGCCTAGCGTCTAGGCAAGCAATTGGGCTGAAATTCAGGACGTGGTTGAAAATGCACTTTCGTTATCATTTTAGTTTAATTTGAAATCTGATTTTGTTAAGCATGCTGCATTTAGGTGGACGGGGCAGTGGCCTCCAATTTGACTGGAAAACACGGTCAAAAATTTGCATTGGTGTGGCAACTGGACTGGCTTATCTTCATGAACAAGTGAAACCGCATATTGTCCACAGAGATATAAAAGCAAGTAATATTCTTCTTGACAATGATTTGACACCCAGGATATCTGATTTTGGTTTAGCAAAGCTCATTCCACCAGATAAGACTCATATCAGTACACGTGTCGCAGGAACTTTGTAAGTTTTTATGCTCTTTCTTCTAAACATTTTATCCTATATCGTAGTCTGTATGTGTTTTGGTTAAGTTACACATTTTAAACCAGTTAACATTTTTTCAAGTATCTTGATCCTCTGGTAATTCATAGGATTGAAATAAAATGTAAAGTTTTTACCGAAATATTTTATACAACTAGACTTATTCATTTGATGTTGTTTTAAGTTAAAAATATGCTACAAGGCTTTTTTGTACTCACTGCAAAATATAGTGTAAAATTTCCAATTTTATAATACAATTATCATAAACTTTTCAAAGTCTTACTGGCACCGATATTTCCTGAAAATCAAAGTTTTGATATTACCAATACCAATATTCTCATCATCATTGCTCATTTGCTCTTAATGTGTTATGTTTAAGGTAGAAATTTTACAGCATTAAAGATGTTTGCAAATCTTTGGGCGTAGCTTTGTATATTAAAGCTGACTACCTCTTGTTTTTATGCTCCAGAGGTTACTTGGCACCAGAATATGCAATAAGGGGTCAGTTGACGCGTAAAGCAGATATTTATAGTTTTGGTGTTCTTCTAATTGAAATCATATGTGGGAGATGCAACACAAACACAAGATTACCCATTGAGGAACAATATCTCCTTGAAAGGGTATGGCTTGCTCATGTCCCGTCAATTTATGCTTCACATTTTTGGATGTGTGCAGAATTTCTAAAGTTAGTTTATGGTTATAGCGCTTCCTGACTTATCATTGCATGACTTTTCTGAACTTTTTTTTTATGTACAACCCTCTAGTGCTAGTGAATATTGGATCTTTTTGCGTAGAGAGTAGTTTTAGTTCATTTGCAAAGGCTCCAATGGGTATTGTTGAACCAAGGTCGCCAAAATCACTTGGCAGTCCTATGTTGGTAGACCAATGCCTAGTGCCTATACTGCCTAGGATGCTCCTAGGATGTTGCATACATGTATTCTTTCAACAGAAATTGCTCCGAATAGGAGTAAAACATGACTAAGTGCATAAGTAGGAGTGAGCTTGTTTTCCCTATACTAAGACTCATTGAATCGGTAATTAATCCTAATAAAAAGGTTAAGGTGGTTAAAACTTCTAATTTTTGAAGTAAATGAGTCATATTTTGGGTAAAAACCAGAAACAGGACTGGATCAGACTTTTTACTACTCCGTAGTTAACTTCGTTGTAGGTATAGCAACTTTATTTATTAGTTAACTTCATTGTAGGTATGGCAACTTTATGAAAGAGGAGAGCTGGTACAACTTGTAGATTCATCATTGGATGGGAATTTTGATGCAGAACAAGCCTGCAGATTCTTACGAATTGGTCTTCTTTGCACTCAAGATGCCCCTAAGCTTCGGCCTTCAATGTCACGTGTTGTGAAGATGTTAAAGGGGGAGATGGAGGAGGAGAAGGATAATATTACAAAGCCTGGGCTGATAACTGATTTCATGGATCTCAAGATTAAAAACCCTCAGAAAACTAAGCCTGCAAGTGTTAAAGCTGCTTATGATTATATATTATCTTCAGAATCTGATAGTTCAACTTTGGCATCTCAAGCTTCTTCCCAGACCTTGACTACAATCGATTAAAGTACCGAGTGTCTGAGTGCCAATATTTTAAAGCCATTTAGGCGGTGAGGGAGCTTGTAACTTTCGTTGATTCCTTTTTAGTTTCGTGGCAAGTAGTGAAGTATATATAGATCATAGATGTGCATACAAATATAGCCTGTCTATATTCATTATTTGTGATCATAGTAGTGGACTTTCATTTAGAAGGCTATCTGGGCATTTATTTAGTTTTAGCCTCTTAGGTGATACTCCAGATAAGAGTTATCGATCTTGCAAAAAAAAAAAAAGAGTTATCGATTTTCTTAAAAAAAAAACAGATTTTCCCATTTTTTCCTTTCTTAATTAAATTAAATATTTAATATTTAATTATTGACAATCCATAAATATGATTTGAAAAATATGTGTACACATAATTAATATAATGATTTATCTTGTATTATTGTAATATATTACTAGTCAGTCCGTATACCGTGCAACCGGAGCATGGTGAGCACCATGCTCCACACCCCAAAACGACGTAGTTTTGATCAATTTTAAATAATAATAAAAATTCGCGTGAATAGTACACGCGTGAACAGTGCACGCGTGTACAGTGTTTTTTTTTTAATTTTCATCCCAGTAGCATGGATGATGTAATTCGCGTGTATAGATATGTAACTCGAGTTCTTGATCAATGTAACTCAAGCAAAATGAGATGTAACTTGTCAAATACATAGTATACGAAATAAAACATTGATTTCAATGTAAACAATGAAAAAGAGAGTCTAATTATTATAAATGTAATTCGTGTTGATGACAAATGTAAGTTGTTGAGGTAAGTCCAAATGTAACTCGCTTATAAAAAGATGTAACTCATGCACATGAATATGTAACTCGTTCATAAAAAGATGTAACTCCATGTAACTTAAGATGTAAATTTGTATTAAAGAGTGTAACTCCATTTTATACGTAAAAACCAATTAACCTCATCGATCAAAGCATGTTAATTAGATTAATCTGAACGGAGAAGTTTATACGAAGTATTAATCTGAATTGATTCATAGCAGCCTATTACATCAAAGCAATAGAATTTGCTTCAATTTTCAAAACGAAAAGCAGCACAAGAGAGAAAGCAAGGAAGAAAAGTTAGTGGAAAAAAGTTAGCGGAAGCATGGGAAGAATAAAATTTTGGGAAACGATTTTAATTGCATAAGAACGACACCGTATTAGAACCGGGCATACCATGCACATGGTATGCCGGTTGCACGGTATAAATTGCGATTACTAGTATTCCACCCGTGCGTCGCACGGGGTGTAAAATACTGTTATTATAAATGCTAACAATAATCTCACGTTGGGACGGAGGCATGGGTGGACCCGGTCCCGATCCCGAACCAGTCGGTCTTTGGAAAAAGACATTGATGCCCACGAACTCTATTTCCAGCCCCGTCTGGTCCCGGTCCCCTAACCGATCCCGATCCCAGTCCCAATTCGATCTCAATTTTTTATTCTTGGGAAAAGGTGCAAATAAGCCCATGTACTAACCATAAAAGGTCAAATAAGCCCTTATTTACGAGGTTCTGTCCGGCCGTCACCATTTGGGGTGGTTCCCGGTGGAATTTTTTGATGAAATTTTCTGAGCATCTTATTAATTCAGTCTAGTTTACTCATACCAAATTTCAGCTAAAACATCAATCGGGAAGGCATTCAAATGAACTATCTAAGATAACTGCGCATTTATCTTCAAGAATTCATTTGAATGCCTTCCCGATTGAAGTTTTAGCTGCAATTTGGTATGAATAAACTAGACATAATGAATAAGATGCTAAAAAAAATTCATCAAAAAATTCCACTGGGAACCACCCCAAATGGCGACATCCGAACAGAGCCTCCTAAATAAGGGCTTATTTGACATTTTTGGTTAATACATGGGCTTATTTGCACCTATTCCCTTTATTCTTTAATATACTTTTAAACACTACACCCTTTTAAGGTTCTAAGTAATCTCCCAATTCTCATAAAATGTTTTCAATGATTTCATAGCAAAAAAATGTAATTGGTCCCGATCCTGATCGTTTTAAGAAAATGGAGGTTTGAGATTGGGACCAAGACTTCTTTCGTACTCATCTGGCCTCGGTCGCAATTTGAAAACCTTGTTTTTCGATCTCATTTCCGGTTTGAAATCCGAGTTGTACGAGTATTAGGACCATAGAGAGTACACCATACTCTTTCACTCCTTACGTTCCTTAAAACTTTGCCAAGCTTGACACTGACGAAGAAGAATAGATTAAATATTGTGTCATTGAGACTTGTACAAAAAAAGAGAAGAAAAACAAAAAAAAACACAAAATAATTGATTAAAAGATTTTGGGACATCAAAAGAGATTTAAGAGCCCGTTCGGTAGCACGAAAATCGGCTGATTTGGCTGATTCTGTCGAAATTTATGAAGTTCTGGCTGCATTTTGCTGATTTAAGAAAAAAATATTAATAAAATAAAATTTATTAAAATATATTATATTAATAAAATAAAGAAAAAATTATAGGTAAAATAGCTAAAATGGTCATCTACATTAACTTCAATCAATACAGCCAGAAAAGTAACTCCGACCTTACTTTTTCTGCTTATTACATAATTCAGCGCACGAAATCAAAAGTTAGCTATTTGATGAAAAAGTTTGACTGATGAATGAGATTGCTAGGCCCAATTAGAGCATCCCCAATGGGATAGTGGATGTGAGTAATGTCTATCCTACGTGGCATAGGAGAGAGATAGAGATAGAATGATTATTTTAATTTAATATGGAGAAAGTGGTGTGTATGAGAAATGAAAAGGAAGAGAGAGATAGGAGTAAATTGTAGAGAATGTCTATGACAATGTCCACAAATAGACTTTACACGGGAATCGATGAGTGAATGTGGATGAAAACTGGGTTAAAAGTGATACAGAAAAATGAAAAATAAAATAAATGTGAAGATATGTAGGTCCTACACATAAAATTTGTGAGATAAAAAATGGGGCCATGTGTAAGAGTGTGTAAAGAAAGTAGACATCCCCATTGGGGATGCTCTTAGTTTTGAACAAAGTTAGACCAAATCTTCCGAAGCTCAAGTCAGATCAGTCTCACTGTCACAGAAATCCTCAGGCTCCATTCTGGCTGTGTGCACACCCTCAGAGCTAGGGTTTAAACAAAAGCAGTGCCAGTACACTTAGCGCGTGCCATGGCAAAACCAAGCCGAGGCCGTCCGGCTGCTCCATCGCGGTCTCCTCGATCTTCGTCGCGTTCGAGGTCGCCTTCTCGTTCCCGCTCCCCTGCATCTCCCTCTCAATCTAGGTCAAGGTCTCGGTCCTTCTCCGGCTCCGGTTCTCGCTCCCGTTCTAGGTCCTACTCTTCCTCCTCCTCTCATTCTCGTAGCGGAAGTTCTCTCAGCCGTAGCCCGCCCAGGAGAAGGTGTGTTTCAACCCACGTCCCCTTTCAACCCCTCGTTTATATGCTACGGAGTATGTTTTTCACTTCGTCACATGAAATTTAGACAATTTTGACACCATTGTTAGACTCGTAACACACATATGGTCTCCCACCTTTTTCTTCATCAATCAGTAGATTGTGTAGGAAGTTTTTTTTTTTTGCTAGTTAAATTCTCAACTACACTTTAGCAGCTACCGAGTTCTGAGTTCAGGATCAGAAAGGGAAACAGATTTAAATTGGTATTGTAAGCACGTAAGATTTGTCTGCATCTTCTGCAAGGATGTGTAGTTTTACTAATATAATTATTATCCTTAATTTCAGTGAACTGGTTAAAATGTTTTTTCTGTTCTCACGCTCATGCATGATGATTCATTCAATTTTATTTTATGTTGATTGGGACTTTCATAGCCCTGCTGAAGGATCCAAGAGAGGTCGTTCACCAGCAACACAGCCAAAGAAAGCTTCCCCCCCTCCAAGGTACTGGCTTCTTTCAATTTCGGAATGTATTAAACAACAATGCTCTAGCTTTTAATTTACATCTGTCACTAGTGATGTTTGGCATTCATTTGTAGTAACAACAAGTTGAGCCTTGAGAGCAGCAACTAGGTTGATTAAGTAGCTCACCTCCTCCCCATGACATGTCTTGTGTTCAGAATTCTGAGAAACAATATTATCTTGCTGTTGTGCCATTAATGCCACTCTTCTGTCTTGCTACTCTCCTGATTTCAGGAAAGTTTCTCCCATTCCAGAGTCCCTTGTACTACATGTTGAGCAACTTAGTAGGAATGTCAATGAAAACCATTTGAAAGAGATATTTGGTAACTTTGGTGTTCACTCCATATAACACTAATTTTCAACAAAACTGCATTTTCAGGTTACACTAATTTTTTTATAACACTTTTCAGGTAACTTTGGTGAAGTTGTGCGTGTGCAGCTGGTAATTGATCGTGAGGTAAGAACTTAAGCTCCATGTCCCTAGGAAATGTAACATTTATTATTGGTCAGATACTAAAAAATAAACTTAGCGTTGCATAATAACTATGATTGGCCTTGAACTTTTATCAAAATTTCCAATTATCCTTCAACATTCAAATGACCCATTTAGATTGGCTTTAGACTTGACGTATACACACAGGCCTAACCTATGAGACAAGTTGCAATGGTATAAAATTGATTATAAAGTCAAACATGTGATGCTTTTAGGCTAATATCTATTTATTATATATCTATAATTTGATTTTTACGTTGCAATGTGTCATATCATTGCTTACAGTTTTCTCTTGTACGCAATCACTCTAGTGTTAGTGGCACCTGCATATGCAACATGCTAAATGTAAAATAAATCAGTTTTTTTAAGGTCAATGTCATCAATGAGTTAAATTAGGGTCCAAAAGACACATTTGAAGAGTTCAGGGTCTATTGCGGTTTTATTTTGTAAGCTGGGGGTCATTTTTTGGGTGTTTGGCGTGTACTGTTCTCTTATGTTTGTTGTTATAAAGAAATGGTGTTGAATGTTCAGGTTAATCTTCCTAAAGGATATGCATATGTTGAATTCAAGAGTAGAGTTGAAGCAGAGAAAGCCTTGCTGTACATGAATGGAGTATGTATACTAAGCCAGAGGATATATCTATTATTTTTCTTATAATCTTTGCAACCTCTAGCTATTAATCTTTCAATGGTCCTATTCTAGGCCCAGATTGACGGAAAAGTTGTTCATGCAAAGTTCACATTAGCTGAGAGAAAGAAGACATATTCCCCTCCTAAGCCATTGGCAACTTCTAAAAGAGATGGTCCGAAGAATGATAGTGGTGCCACTATCAATCTTGATAAAGATGGTCCAAAACGGCCACGAGAGTGTATGTTGCCCATTTATTATTACTGCATATTTATAGTCTTTGTGAACATAATTGGTAATGGAAATGATTAATTCTTCAGTCTCTCCTCGCCGAAGACCTCTTTCCCCACAGCGAAGGAGATCTCCAATTGGACGAAGGGGATCTCCTAGGCGAAACCTTGGTTCTCCTCTACGTCGATCTCCTGCTCGTCGCCGAAGTTCTCCTTCTAGGCGCGTTGACTCTCCACCTCAAAGACGCAGACGGACATCTCCGCCGCCGAGAGGTCGTTCACCCACTCCGCCAAGGCGTTACCGGTCACCGCCTAGGTATGTTTTTATTATTATAATATGGGGTGCTGCATAGATTATTAAGAGTTTGACTAAGTTTTGAATGGCTGGTCTCACAGAAGAACTCGTGGAAGTCCTGTTCGGAGACAATCTCCACCAAAGAGACGGTAATTTGGACTTATTTTTGTACTTGATATAATGAAAATTTTATGTTGTTTGGCAGTCCATTAGTTTTAGATTTAGAGTTAAGGCTGTATGCCTCTATGGTGGATAGCTACTCCTTTCTAAGAAGTATTTACAGGTTCAACCCCCTATGCATATTCATCATCCCATTTAGAAATTAGGACTAGTAATAAATGTGTCACAATAGTGATATCTTTCCACTACAAATCTTTTTCTACAATATATATTGTGATGGAGTTAAAGAAATGCTTGTTAATATATACATCTCTATTGTAGTCTGACTGGCTATAGAACTACTAACATTGATGAATATAGTTTTTATTGCTACTTACCTCTGATACTTTCTATCATCCCGCAGTTCACCTAGACGAGCTTACTCTCCTCCCAGAAGATCTCCAATTGGGCGTAGACGTAGCCGTTCCCCTATAAGAAGGCCTATTCGTTCACGCTCAAGATCTATTTCTCCTAGAAGGTGATGGATAAATGTACCCTAATTACAATGAAAACGGTTTTTGTTGTTCATTTGTAGTCTTGCATATGATTTGAAGTTCTAGAAGTATTCTAGTACTTACTGACGTTAAAAGCATTTTGACTACCAAGTGGAGGCTAAGTGGGTACATATTATAGATAGATTTAAGGGTGAAAGTGATGTTTGTTAGGAGCATAGTTATCACTGAGTCTTTCAGGCGCTGAGTATGGATTCCAGCAGTGGAGAAACATCCCTAGGCATCCCACGGTGTTGTCGCCCAGTACTGATAAAAAATCCACCAACCCGCATACCTGAGTTAGAATTGATTAGATGTTTTTGCGGTGCGATGTAGCCTGCGGAGCAGAGAAGAGTCCTAAATAGAGGCCAAATATCGCTCCGGCTTCTCCCGTTTCATGGTCAAGGGTTAACTCTATTACAAGATAGAAGTGCCACACGGTGCTTGGTTCTTGAGAGCTAAACCAGCACCATCACTGTTAATTTACAAATGTTTTGAAATATCAATGATGCAGCGGTCATCTATGAAGAGCTGATCACTCTGCTCTGAAATCCGAATCATTCTTAGCTCCAGTTTTTTATCTTACATATTTTTCCACAACCTTTCAAATATTTTCCATTTGTGAGCCAAGGTTGTAGTTTTCCTTCACCATGCTCTGCATCCAAACCACTGAACATAATCACTATCAAGCATGGCAGTCCCTGAAATTGGGCTGTTGAAGGCAAAAAGCTGCCACAGGTTGGTCTACAACCAAAATGGATCCATTATTTATTGAACCAGAAGAAAGTAGATCTGAAGTTATGGATTGCTAAGAGAGCAGTTAAGGAAGGCATGGTAGTTACTGAGAGAGAGACATCAGATTGTGTAGATCCAAAACCCCCAAATCTAAACAAGCCCCTTCCGTGTTTTCATTTATATATGCCACCAGACATGGAAATGAACATTTATGATCTGGTTATCATTATTGTCTACTTGTCACAGTAGGAGGGTCCTTAAGAATATTGCATTTTTATGAAATATGTTACATGTGTTCCCTGATTTGTTTTAAAAATCCATGCCTGATTCTGACATCTTGCGTTGTACTTTGATGTCAACAGGCCAAGAGCTCCACTTTCCCGACGTGGAAGGTCATCATCCTATTCCTCATCGCCCAGTGGACAAAAGGTTTTTTATTTTCAGTTCACCATTAGCAAAATGGCATTTCCTGCTGAGTAGTAGATGCTAAATTGCCTTTTTGCCTCTGCAGGGACCTCGCAGAGCATCTAGGAGTCGCAGCCCTAGAAGGTATTATTTTGCTGCTTTTGTGTGCATATAGATTTCATTTTAAACCCAGGTCCTTGGACTTATTTGATTTTCTGCTCTCCATGGGTTGACATAATTTGATTAGATGAAATTAGAGATGCATGATTATGACCCACATATAATTTTACTATCATTTTTTTTCATCTGATTTTTGTGTTACTAGTACTATTAAAGAGGATACATCAAGTAGATTATTTCATAAAGTATTAGTTGACTGTTAGATCATGTCAACATTTCAGTTTTACAAAAGAAGGTACTATGTATCATTTGTAATAGTGAATTAGTCTTGATCTTTAAATAAATCCTAAATTAGAGAAAGTGAGTTTCTAGTGTCTATATCCAAGCAAACTGAAAATCTATTGTTGAAATTCATAATTGATATTAATAATCAAACAATTTGAACCATGGAAGTGATCCAATGTTCAAAATAAAAAATTCCGTAACTTATTTTTGAACCTATCAGGTGCTCTTACAGAAACTTGATTAGGTTTTTATTGTCATGTTTATTCTAACTTGTTTTTGTGATATCATGTTTCTAGGCCAGTGAAAGGAAGGAGCCCCAGTAGCAGCAGTAGTAGCCAGTCTCCCCCACCACCACGGAAACCCTAGACTGGTAGCTTGTGTATTAGTTGCTAAATCGCTCATTTGATCCGTAGTAACTTGACGGATAGTTAAATCCATCTCATTTTATACTGTTAAGTTTGTCACTATGACTATCTATGCCATGTGAGCTTGATGGTTGGACTGTAATGTGCGTATGGCTCGACTATCATTTGTCTTCGACGTTATGTTTTGGAAGTGATTTGTTGGGTCCTGAACGGTGAGATATAGTCACTTGCAAATATATTTGTATTTCAAGTTTATTGGATGAGATAGAATGTTTTTAATGAGACTGAATTTTCTAGCTTGTTTGGTGTAAACTTATATGATTGATATGATATTTGTTTTATGTGTATTTTATAGTGGTTGAAATTTGGTTTGATCTGTTTAGGATTGGAATTAAAAAGAATGGCAGAATTAGCACAACCGATCTTCACATTGACAAAACTAAGATCTAATATTCTAATTATAATTTGGACAAGAATGAGACCAAATAAAATCTGAATGGACAAAAATACCCTCATAAATATTAAAATTTACTCTGAATTAGAGCTCACGGACAACCATTGCCTTCCTCTTCCGTTTGAATTAGAGTTCATGCATCGTGCACAAGGAAGGTCGTTCTGGTTCCCAAACTAGCGCCTCAACTCTAGCGAATGGTGACGACGTCCAAGGTAGTCTTGCACTCTTGCACCTGGTTCGGGCCGCCCGTCCCGGGAATTGGCCCGGCCCGCTACTGTGTGGGCCTGGCCCGGCCCGGTGTACCGGTTTTGGTTCCAGACCTAGGCCCGGTCCCGGGGTTAGGGTGGGGCGGTCCCGGTTCACCCCTTCTTTGGAACCGGTTCGGGCAGGGCTTTTTTTTTTAATTTGTTTTTTTCATTGTTTTGGGCTTTTTCATGAGTTGGGCTGGGTGATTTGGGAGGGTTTGGGGGGTGGGGCATAGGGGGGTGGGGTCGGGGGTTAATAACAAAAGAAAAAAAACATGGACCCAGCCCGTACCCGTCACCCGGTGGTAACCCGGGTTGGTCCCGGGCCTTCTACCAAAAATCAAAAGCCCGGTGGGCCTAGGTCGGACCCGGACCCGACCCGGCCCGAATCCATGACTAGTCCAAGGGCAGCGGCTCTGACTCTGGGATTAGTTATGACATCTCCCCTTTGCCGCTCCTTTCTTCGCTGCATGGTCCGGCCTTCGTTGTTGTTGCTGGCCGCAAACCTTTGATCTTTTCCTCCTTCCTTTTATCTGCAAACATTTGCTACACTCTCGGCATTAAAGCCCAATCGGATATGAAGATTTAAATCAAGAGCTCCCAGATCGTTTTCTTTGCATCGACATCTAGGTTTTCCGATTGAGGGTCGGTTGCCGTGCAAAAGTGGTTTTCAAGGCCAAGGAGGGGGTGGGGCAGTAGGGCAAGGTTGTTTGGGTCTGGTAATTTTAGCGACAGTTTGGAGCATGGAGCCATGGATGTCAATGTTGGGGGCAGTGGCCCTGTCGCCATTGGTGACAGAATCAGGTGAGTTGGGATGGATCGGGGATTATGGACTATATCTGGAATGGTGGGGGCATGCAGGGGTTGGTGAGGGGGGATGTAGCAGGGGCTGGGGAGGTGACAGACGCGGGACATGACAGTGACAGTTATTGTGAGGGGCGACGACAGTCACTTGACCGGTAGCCGTTGCTGGATGGGTTGGGGCATGGCATGGGTTAGAGGAAGTAGCGAGGCAACTGTGGGGCTGGTCACTTGATGGGTGACGTCAGTCGCCAGTTACTAAAAAGGGCGAGGCGGCTGTGACTTGAAGGGGTGCGGCGGCGATCACTTGATGGGTGGCTGGCTGTCATTGACAGGCGGTGTTAGCGGTGGTCACTATCAAATCAAGTAATTGTGAAATAGTCCAACCATATAATTGTAAGTTGTAACTGGTCGGGTTTAATAATTGGGACGAGTCAGGTAACTGTAATTGGTTGGTTGAGTATCTTAACTGACGGGTCAAATAATTGTTACTGATTGGATAACTGGTCATTGTACTGCTGGTCACTTGGGCGGTAGTAACTGGGACGGTGATCACTAGAATTATGGTAACTGTGACGGTAGTCACTTGAGCAGTAGTCACTGAGACAATGGTCACTATAGCAATAATAACTCAGATGGTGGTCACTGAAGCGATAGTAACTGAGTCCGTAGTCACTGGAGCACTAGTAATTAGGATGATTTTTTTTTTTAACAATTTTTAGTGTTATATTTTAAATATTTAAGACTCAAGTTTCCATATTCAAATATATTATAATATTAAAATCAAAAGAAAAATTAAAGGATAGAGTTTGCAATGTTAGCTAAAGCAATAAGTGACACGTAGTGCAAGATTGCAATGATACACAGTAAAGATATGTGGGTGCAGCGTTGACCGTTACATTCGAGGAGAGTCATTTAGAAGTTAAAAAAGAGTTTTTCTTTTTATCCATTACTTTTTTTAAGTAATGTTAATGTCAAAACCCCATTAATAAGAATGACAAGAATGTTATCTATAGATTTTAGTTAGGCAAAAATTTGATCAAAACTAAAATTGGCCAAAAATGAAACTGCGCACCTGCACCTATGCCTTCCGCATCATACAATCATACCACACCATCGTCGACCTTCATTCGCGCAATCATCTCCTTCACCGTCACCCGTTTTCGATGTTGTAGTCCATTTGCACCGTTTTCGTCATTCGACTGCTAGCAATATCACGTCCGGTACAACATCTAAGCCTTACAATCAAGTAATGTCACCCTTAAGTCACCCTCACCTGATTGTAAAAGGCGTCCATGAACATAGTTCATACAGTACTCGGTAATTAAACATATATACCAACATCAACATTTAATCACATGAATAACGGAAATATTTAATATTTAATCATGGGCAACATCCGACCAGAACATGGGCTCGCAGACTCAAAACAATTTATAGTGTTTATAGTTTTAAATCGATAAGGAAAACACATACCACATCTTTCTTGATATGACTTTACCCGGTGCAAAGGTGCAGGTAGCAAGATCTAGGTTCAACCTGAAAATGATGACCCCCCCGAAGGGGTCAGTACACTCGAACTGACGAGAAGCAACTAAATGTATAATAACCAACGTTTCAAGTATAAGACCAAACATAGGGTGATACATAGTTTCCCTCCCAAGTCTTTGGATACATATAAGTATAAATGTAGGTCATTTGTTTAATTGGGAAATCCATAGTAAACTTAGTACTTGACTTATTAGTCTCAAACCCACCCAAATACCTATGAGTGTATAAGCCTTCTTATCCAATCAAGTATTTTCAGGACACCGCCCGGTCCCATAATCTATGAGTTTTGAGAACTAATCTCGTCATGGGTACACCACTGATTATATTCCGAGTTTTGAGTACAATTTTCGTCCTTGGGTACTCTACCAATTATATTTTAAATTTTGAGGATAGTCTCGTCCTTGGATACTCCACCTTTTATGTTCCCAGTTTTGAGGACAATCCCGTCTTTGGGTACTCCACCATTTATTTTTGAGTTTTGAGCACAATCTCGTCCTTGGGTACTCCACCGTAAAATATGATTGATCTATGACATATCATACTTAGATAGAGTCTATATCACAATTAATATGCAAGACTAAACCAAGTCTTATAACCTAAGCACAACAATCAATGCAAAACCATGCAAATAAGTCAAATTGGACCAAACAAGGCCTAATTGGCACCAGTTTTGTACATAACCGGTGCTGGTTCCAATTATTTTCATTTCTGGAACCCGGCACCCGAGACCAAATCAGCGCTGGTTCTAGGCCTGACCGGCGCCTGTCCACTTGTGTTGTTCTAGAACCGGAACGAAAGCAACCAAACCGACGCTCCGTTGACCACCCGAATCAACTTCGATTGCTATGAAAGATAGCCACAACGTGTCATATGTCATAAATGATTAATATATACAATTTTGGTCATTCAAAACATAACATACGAAGTATGTTTTTATATGTATTTTAAACCATTTACATGCCTATTCCAATAGTTTAATTCATATAAGCCTAATCACGTTGGCTAATCACATGCTTAAACTTTTAAAACATCATCATGAACACTTATAACATTTCTTTAGGCGATCTCATACTTAACCCAAGAGTTATAAGACATTAAGCCGTCAACTAACCTTGTTAAATGAGATTTAAGAAGTTCTACCCTCTCCGGTTGGCCTCCAACGAGATTCCGGCAAACTTTGGTGAACTTCGGCGATACTTTCGACAACTTCCCCAACTCCGTGAGAGTACTAGGAACACCTTATACGAGTCCCTAACAAGGTTGCATTAACCCAAAACCCATATTAATACAAATAACCTCTAAAAAGTTATTCTTCGGCGAACCGGTAACCTTTGGCTTATAAGCCCGTTTTTGTGCTTAGAATCACCTTCCAACCCCTCATTCTACATTTATAAACATGTAGAACAATGCTATGGGTCTATCTTATGATTTATGAAATCATAATTAATTCATTAATGAAAAGAAAAGGTTAATAAGATGATTACCTTAGTTTCTCAAACTTTTCCTCTCTTTCCCCACTTAATATTCCTATTTGGACCTCCTCTTGTTTGAGCTCATGTTCCAAGCTATGGGGGTGAATGTTGCAGAGTTCCTCTCTCTTTCCTTATGTACTTGGCCGAAATGTGATAGGGTGAGAGAATGAGGAGATAGCTTATTTGGCCTTTCTCTCAAAACCATATGGGAAGAGGCCCTATTTGCACACTTGATTGACCCCCCCCCCCTCCCTTCTCGTGTCCTTTCATTCCAATAAGTCACTCAGACCCTCTTGGTTGACTTAGGGAGGTATTATTTCGTCGAGAGACCCTCACTCATGTGGGAGGTAATTCCTTTATGCCCCGAAGTGTATACTTAGTCTCAAAAGTTGTATTTCTAGGATTGTTTTAATTAAATTTCATTTTATCGGGCCAAATAAAATATACCTTATTCTTCCAATTTTTATTGGCTTCTAGATTTAATATGTATACCCCATCTTTAATTGAGTGGTTTCCCGAAATTTATCACGGGCTATTATTTGGCAATTTATTACCGAAAAAGTATATTGCCCTCGTTTGCTCCACCGACAAACTCTATGTTGTTTCTATGTCCCAACATGAATTTACACCACCATATAAATATTATCTAGACCAAGATGAATATAATATGTGGCCCTGGAAATATCGTGTGGTCCACGCTCCTGGCGTGGGCCCCACATGCATTTTACTATTCACGTAAAAGCAATAACAAAAATTTACAACCACGTAAGTTTATTAATTATTTCTCAAAGTTCAAAACATAATCTCGTAAAAGAAAATATACTTGGGGACGAGGTTACAA